CTTTAGGAAACAATTTGGCACATTTTAAAGAAGTTAAACGTATAGCTACTATATGACCCAGACATTCAGCTACTCAGATATTCATCCATGAGAACTGAAAGCAGATATCCATTCCACAACTGCATAAACACGATCGCAACTTTACTGACAGTGAGTAAATGGCCATCAACAAGTACAAATTGTAGAATATACTGATTAAAAGGACTGTTAATATATGGATGGATCTCAATTATGGTGAATGAATGAAGACAGTAAAAATCGCAACAAATTGTATGATTCCATTTATATAAAACTTTAGAAACTATAAATAGTAGTGATAGAATAGATCAAAGATGGTTAAGATTGGGTTGGGGGTGTGAAGGGCTGAGCAGGTGGGTTTATTAATGGGACATACCATGACATTTTAGAAAAGGATGGACACGTGTGCTCTTTTTAAAAATTGTTTTATTTTATGAGTGTTTTTCCTGCATATATGTACATACACTGTGCATGCATGGAGTTATGGATGGGTATTAGCTGTCATATGGGTTCTGGGATTCAAACCCAGGTACTTTCTGCAAGAGCAGCGAGTGCTCTTATCTACTGAGCCATCTCTCCAGCTCCATGTGTGCTCTGTTGATTGAAAGATGATGGTTTACTTGGTGAGTACACATGTCAAAACTTGCAAAATGGTACACTTTACATATAGGCAGTTTAACCTGTATCAACTATATGACCTTAAAGTTGTTGTTTGGTATTTTTTAAAACATCTTATTTATTATTATTTTTTAAGCCAGGTGTGGTGCTGCACACCTTGAATGCCAGCACTTGGGAGGCAGAGGCAGGTGGATCTCTGTGAGTTCAGGGCCAACCTGGTCTACATAGTGAGCTCCAGACCAGCTGGGGCTACAGGAAGACCCTGTCTCTAAAAAATTTTCACAGTAGCTAAGAGAAGGAAGCAACCTAAGTTTCCCTCAACTGATGAGTGGTTAACAAAAATGTGGTATATTTACACAATGGAGTTCTATTCAGCAGTAAAGAAAGATGAAATAATGAAATTTGAAGGTAAATGGATGGATCTAGAAACTTATACTAAGTGAAGTAACACAGACTCAGAAAAATAAATCCCATATGTTCTCCCTCATATGTGGCTACTAGCACCAAATCCTTTTAAATTCCAGGTCCTTTTAATAAGATGATGCTATACAGCAGTCCCTTCTACATGAAATAACTAACATCATCACGACTTCAGCTGAGCCTGATCACTAAACATCGTCACAATTGGGCTTGTTGACAGTTGTGCTCATTCATTAAAGGAGGGCAAAGCATGGTCATTGGACCCTCACCGGAGTATACAGTCACTCTTCCCAGCCAATTGTATGTAATTTGACCCTAATCACACATGGCCTCCTGGATTTGGGGAGGGCTAAGTATACAATCTGGGGAAGGCTAGGAAGAGAAGGTTTGACCCATGCTGGGTAAAGGCTTTCCAGTGTGCATACCCTCAGGTCATACATACACCTCAGTAACCCCTCATTTATCTTGAAGGGATACTCCAGTTGCCTCACCCTGCATCCCTGTTCAGCATGGAAGAAGCCAGAGTGGTCTGTGTTGCTATTCCCTATTGGCAATTTGGGTAACCCCTTCAGAGGATGGTGTGATAAGAATAGGAGGTAGGAATTGGTTAGGGAATTAGGGTAAAAAGATCCCAAAGAAATGTAGCCAGTTTCTTGGCTAAAATCAAAATGTCCTTGGGCCTGTTAGCAACATACTCTGTTCCAAAGGCCAAAAATGTCAAAAGTATTTGGGAGCTTGTATCTAATCCTTAAAGTGTTTTAGGGTTACCTCTTCAGAGGGGGAAATGTGGGAGGGGAGGGAGTGGCCATGGATTTGATCAAAACACTTATATACGTGTATGAAATTCTCAATAAAGTTTTTGTAAAAATAAAAAAAAAAGATTTTAGGGTTACCTCTTCAAAGGGGCAAATGTTGGAGGAGAGGGAGTGGGCATTGATTTGATCAAAACACCTTGTATGCATGTGTGAAATTCTCAATAAAGTTTTTATAAAAAATTTTTTTTACTTATTTTTATTTTATGTGTACAAGCATACTGCCTGCATGTATGTGAGTGCACCCATGTCATGCAATGCCTGCAGAGGTCCGAAGAGGATGTTAGCTCACCTGGAATTGAAGTTATGGATGGTTGTTAGCCATCACGTAGGTGCTGGGAATGGAACCTGGATCCTTGGTAAGAGGAGCCAGTGCTCTTAACCACCATCTCTCCAGCCCCACTTAAATCTTTTTTAAGAAAATATTTTGGAACAATTCTTCTTTTCTCTCCTTTTTCATTGAAAATTCTATACATGAATATAATATGTTTGGATCAAATCTATCCCCTATTCCTTCCTGCACAATCCCTCTCCTAACCCCTCCTACCACTTTTTCCTCCATGTGTTCTGTTTTGTAAACCCACTGAGTCCACTTAGTGCTACCTGTATGTACATGGGCTAGGATCATCTATGGACCATGCATAGTCTTCCATGTCTTGAATCCCTGAAGAAAACTGACTCTCCCTCCCAGCAATCATCAACTGCCCATACCTCCTTGGCTAGGTGTGGGACTATGAGACCACCTCCCCTCTTCATGCTGGATTTTGTCTGGCTTGATTTTGGATACTTGAATCTTAAATAGCTCTGGGTAGGCTGCTGCTAGAGGTCATGTTAGGGCTCGACCCCATCCTCACTTCTGAATCAGACCTGGAACAGGTCAGGCTCATCCTGCAAGCAGAGCCTGTATCTTAGTTCATCCAGGAAAGGTATTGCCCTGCAGAGATTCCAGAACTATGTGGGGTTCTCAGATCTGCTCTCTAACCCTATTCAGATACCAGTTCTATCCTCTGTCCCTCACATATAGAGCTTAGGTCTATTTCTTAGAAATTTTTAATCAACCAGACCCCCTTTTTTTTTTTTTTAAATTCAGGGTACTGCTATGCAGCCAAAGCTGGCCTTGAATTTACAATCCTCCTCCCTCCACCTCCAGAGTGCTGGGATTACAGGCATGTGCGATGACTCAACTAAACAGAAATTACGGCAAGTCCTTTATTTTCCAAGCTTTCTAATTAATATTGCAATTACTGAGGATGCAAGTTTGGGATTCAGACTACCTGGAGTCAATCACGCCAAGGCTCTATTCTTTATGATCTTACTACCTATGGGAAAATTAATTAAAATCTCCAAGCATCAGTTTCTTCACATGTATGGGATAATGACAGCACCCACTTCATGGCGTTAGTGAGAGGTCAAATAAGGTCATTCATTTGAAGAGTCTTGGACAGTACCTGGCATGTAATTTGAACTCAAACATTAGCTGACATTATAGCCACTGTTTTTGTGCTTAAAGAAAATATTTTTAAAATTATTGAATTTTTGTGTATTTCATACAGAAAGTCATCTTAATACCCATTCCCCTTTGGCACCCTTCTATAGCCTCCCCACTGGAGTTCATACATTCTGTCATTTGTGTTAAGGCCTCTTATGTAAAGATAGTGTCCCCAGATGTCCCTCAGTGCAAGTTCATTCACTGGGATTTAGTCAGCTTATCTAGAGTCTCTCCCTATAAGAAGATCAGCTCTTTCTCACCAAGCAGTTATCGGCTGCCAATAATTCTTTGACTAAGATTGGGACCTGCTGTTCATTTCCACAGTTCTGTGCTGGGGTTTTGTCTGCTTCAGTTTGCGTGGGTCTTGTGCATGCTGACACCGCTGCTGTAGGTTTGTATGAGAAATACCTGTAGGACTATTTCTGTAAGATCATGCTCCTCCTCCCTGGCTCTTACAATCTTTCTGCCCTTTTCCCAAATGGTCCTTGAGCCCTGGGTGGGTGGATTCTAATATAGGAATCCTGTCCAAATACACTCTGCAGACTCTTATTCTCTGCATTTCGACCATTTGTGATCTTTTGCATTCTTGGCCCTCTGTTACTCGAGGGAGCTTAATTGATGAGAGTTGAAAGATGCATTAGTGTTCTCTTCATCCCTTGTTCTATGTTCTGTGAGCCTTAGGTGTGGAGGTTGCATCCTAGATGTGCCACTTAGTCTTTGGCAATTCACAATCTCTGTGTATGAATTTTAAGATTATATTTCATACTACTCTGCAAAGAAAGAGTACTAGGAATACAAAGATTTATCATCATTTTCAACTTTCAAGTGATCAGTTATTCATATCATAATATAAAATGGTTTTCTCATTGACAAAATAATTCATTTGATATCCCTTGTTTCTATTTTTATCCCTTCTATAAAATATTATTTCTTAAGTTTAGACTTTTCAAAGTATGATTTTTTTTCAACTGAATTCTTTTTTACATGCTCTTCTAAGAGCATATCTTCTCCCACAAAGAAATTCTCCTATCTAAACATGAAATAACATCTTGATTTTATACATAAAAATCATGCCAACATCTGGTTCATTTCATATAGAATGAGAAAAGCCCACTGTACTGGATAGCTTTAGTGTTAACTTGACAGACTTGGGTAGAGGGAGCCTCAGTTGGGGAATTGCCTCCATTAGACTGGCCTGTGGCCATGTCGGTGGGGCATTTTCTTGATTGCTGAGTGATGTGGGAGGGGCCAGCCCACTGTGGGAGGTGCCACCCCTAGGTAGGTGGTCCTGTATTATATGAGAAAGCAGGTTCAGCATGGGCCAGGGGAGCTAGCCAGTAAGCAGCATTCCTCCATGGCCTGTACTTCAGCTCCTGCCTCCAGGTTCCTGGCCTGAGTTCTTCCTTGGGTTCCCTTAGTGATGAATTCTAACCCAGGAAATGTAAGCCAAATAAACCCTTTCCTCCCCAAATTGGTATTGGTCAGAGTGTTTTGTCACAGCAACTGAAAAGAAACTAGAACACCCAGCCTGTGTGTTAGCCCCAGGAACAATCACGACACCACCTGGGCTGGTTATAGCGCCACTTGAATGAAGTCAGCTCCAAGTTCAAGTCTCCCCAAACAGCACAGATCACGTTAAATACCTGGTGAATGAAGTTTGGTGGTAGAAGATGCTGTTCTCTTAGGAGAGGAGACAGGAGGCTTATTTGCATCTTGATCTTTTTGTGCTTCTTTCTTTGTTCCTATATAAAGTTTCAAAAGAGAAATAGGAAAAACTAGTTACAATCAGAATCACAAGATAAATTGTGGAAAAAGCAGCTTAATAAAAGGCAAATACAACAACAACAAAATATTTGGGTGACTTGCTGTGGCTAGCCCCCATCCCCCATCTCTGCTGGGAAAGTGACCTCCTTGTTTATAGCAAACAGAACTTAGTTAAGTGTCCAGTGGAAGGGACACACCGTTGCCTCAGGTTTGATGAAAAACACCCCGTCCGCTGGATGCCTTGTACCTAGTGACCCTCACAGAACATCTAGGAATTAAAATTTTTACTATCCTTAAGTCACCAGCTTGGTCTGCTTGCCTTTCTCTGCTGAGGGGAGGGAAGGAAGGTATAGCTGAAAACAAGTGCTATAACTTCAGTATCATCCAGATCTGAGCCAAGGGCACCGGGTGTGGCTCTAACTTATTCCTGGAGATCTCTGGGCTTCCTGGGTTCCCTGGGTTCCAGCTGAACCTTCCTGGAACTCTCCCACCTGGCTCAGCAGAAGGGGTAACTAGGCAAGGGTGTGGTCTAAGGTATATGTGGATATCCTAAGAAGATGACTGGGGGCCAGAATGGCTTCTCTCTTGCATGCTGGACACACACACACACACACACACACACACACACACACACACACACACACCTTCACATTGCCTTTGTTGGGAAGTCAAAGAAGAGTGGATGCACTAGAGAAACCTCACAGAATCCAGACTACATGAATGTTCCCCACACTCTGCAACCAAACCCTACTCTCCAGAGTAACTGCTGCTGCCAATTTCATGTTTATCCTCCCAGATCTGCTGTGTATTTGTGAATACATACAGATATACCAGTACAGTTACTGGCTAAATGCTATAATCTTTTATTTTTATTTTTTAAAATATTTTATTTATTATTTTTATTTTATGTGTACAAGTGTATTGCCTACATGTATGTGAGTGCACCCATGTCATGTAATGCTGCAGAGGTCAGAAGAGGGCTTCGGATTCCCCTGGAACTGGAGTTAAGGATGTTTCGTAGCCGCCATGTGGGTGCTGGGAATTGAACCCGAGTCCCCTGCAAGAGCAGTCAGTGCTCTTAACCACTGAACCAACTCTCCAGCCCCACTATAATCTTTTAAACTGCTTACATTTGGTAGGTGGCAGGGATCTTACTTTACAGGTCTTTTAAAAATATGACATTGTGTTAAGGAACGAATGCATCACAAGTCACTCTGCTGTCCTCCATGGAAGAACAGTTAGAATGTTTGCAAGTTGCAGTTAGTAAGATTGAAAAATGTGGTACAATAAAGAGTTTTCTACTTTAACCTTTATACACAGGTATCTACCTTTTACAGGAAAAATTAACTTTTGTTGTATTAAAGTCTACTTACAGGTTTGCAATGTTGCTAGAATCCAGTTACCTACCATCCACCCTCTCATTCATGCTCCCAACAGATAGTATGTAAGAGTGACCTTCTCCATACCCCTGTCCTGCTGGCACTGAAAAACAGGCATGCAATTTCTTACAGACATCAAGAGTCTTTGCAGATCAGTCACTCATGTCTTTGACAATTACTTAATTACAGACACTTAAATGGGCAGCTATTTTGCCCATTTTTCTCATTGGTGTGTAAGAACTCTTCATTTATTCCAGGGAGCAATCTTTACCCTGATATTTACATCACGCTTTACAGATTATCATCTGTGAACTGACCACATTCATTCAATTGAATACTGGAATTTTGAATGTGTGAGGAAGAACGTGGGAGGGGACAAAATGTCTGGCTCTCAGACTTGTCTCAGAAGTGTGTTTGATTTGGAATGCTGCCACAGAGAATAGTTGGGGGTTCCAAAGTTCTACTAACTAAACAGTCTTAATAGAAAAGCAAGAAGCAGCCCAAAGGCCTGTGGAAAAAGACCACACCTGGAAGTCTCTAAACAGTTTCTCCAGGAGGAGAAGAGCAGGGTCAAGTCCCACATCTCCCAGGACAGGGGTCTCTGCCAGCCTGGCTTTGACAGCAGCTGGTGGGAGCTGCATTTAGGACTTAATTCCTGAACTGGCCACTATGATAGAGACTTAGATCCTGTTTGTTATGAATGCTTTAAGCAAAGACCACTTGCAGGGGAGCTGGGACAACATAGCTCAGTCCTGAGGCTGTTCAATTAAAGGAATCCCTAGCCCTAAAGACAGGACCATCATTTCAAAAACTGACAAGTACCAATGACTAATTCAGGATCCTCACTAACATATCTAAATAAAAAAATAGGACTTAAGATTTGTTTTTGAGACAGGGTCTAGTACTGTCTGGTCCAGAACTCATTATGTAGCCTAGGTTGGCCTTGAACTCACAGAAATCCACCTGCTTCTGTCTCCCGAGTGCTGGGATTAAAGACATGTACCACCATGTCTGGCATGATTTGAGATTTAAGACAATGGTTAGAAGAATGTAAAATACTTTCTAACAAAAAAGAAATAAGCATATCAGAAAACATAAGGAAAATTTTGTAAGTCTTTCAATTTAGATGCCATAGGCTGGAAATGCTAGCAAGTAAAACTCAGTATAAGTAAAGGATAAAAAACAAACAAAGAAACAAAAACAGATAAAGGAATAGAGTGGCAGACTTTATCCCCCATCTAGTGCCGCCTCCACCTGCCCAGGACAGGCAGGTAATGTGGTGACCCACACTGCCTGCAGTCTCACTCCCAGACAAGAATCCCACAAGAGGGAGGGAAGCCACGGTATGAAATGCAAGAGTGGGGCAAAGCGAAGTGTGTGGTGTCTTATAGGTGTGAGGTGATGTGATCAGGAAATACGGATTCTCATAAGAGACAAACTGGGGGATTGTTTCAAGGTAAGATTCACGGGGACTGCATAGAATGCAGAATAGAAAGAGCATGTAGGGTGCAGGATGGAACTGGAGGGTTTGCTTCTGAGGCCAGCCTACATTGCCTGTAACCCCGGATGATGTTCAAGGTCCCTGGACCAAAGCAAATATCCTTATTCAGTTTCCCCTTAATGTACCTGAGCCTCCTCCCTGAAAATCCTGTATAAGGCAAAATAAGACTATGTTTTATGAAATAGTTGCTGTATTATATTGTACCTTTCTAATAAATGGGAAACTATGAAGTTGTTAATGAATGGAAATAATGACAAAAAATAGAAAGTGAACTGAAAGTCAAATTGTTTTTGCCTATTGCTGCCTTAAAAAAAAACAACTAAGTTATCTGGCTGAGATTACAGATCAAGATTCAATCATCCAGACACCATATTTAAACAGACTCCCACATTTCCTATAAGAGAATGCACTGGAGAAAAATGAAAATACCTTTTTCTTCATTTGCAACATCATAACCACAATGAGTCCAGTGGAAGGCACTATAGAAGATCTATCACATGGATTTATATTGATTTTCTTAGTAAAAAACAATAGTTTCTGTATTAGAGTTCTCTAAAGAAACAGAACCAGTAGAATGAATATATATGTTTAGAGATTTATCAGCTTAGATCACAAAATAGAGTCTGAGTAGTCCAACAATGACTGCACCACACTGGAGAGGCTGAGAATCTGTAGTCACTCAGTCCACGAGGCTGGATGTCTTAATAGTTCCAATCTGGCATTGAAGGTCTGATGAATTCCAAAATATCAGCTAGTCTTCAGTCTACAGCAGCAAGACGAACTCACCAGGGAGAGAGATGGTCTGACCCAAAAGATTGGCTAGGCTAGTCTTCAGTCTACAGGAGCAAGACGAACTCACCAGCGAGAGAGAAGGCAAACGGCAAAAAGCAAGTGCTCTCCTCTGCCAGGGCCTTTTACACAGCTGCCATCAGAAGGTAACACCCTAAATAGGGTGTGTCTTCCAGCTTCAGATGACCCAATCAAGAAGATCTCTCTCTCAGTTAATTCCAGATCCAGACAAGTGCTAGTCTTCAGTCTACAGGAGCAAGACGAACTCACCAGCGAGAGAGAAGGCAAACGGCAAAAAGCAAGTGCTCTCCTCTGCCAGGGCCTTTTACACAGCTGCCATCAGAAGGTAACACCCTAAATAGGGTGTGTCTTCCAGCTTCAGATGACCCAATCAAGAAGATCTCTCTCTCAGTTAATTCCAGATCCAGACAAGTTGACACCCAGGATTAGCCATCACAGTTTCAAACACTGTATTTTGGAGCATGATACTTATTTGTACAGTTTAACAAGTAACAACAAAGCCAGCACCCACAGAATTGCTCCCCTGGTGGAGGAGTGGGCCACTGGGAGACAGAGGGAGCCAGGGTGTGCAGTGCTCACCCTCTCTTACCCCATTAGGACAAATATCATTTTAGTTATCAATTACTTTTCTTTATAGTTTTGCTACTCTCACACACAATATCCTTAAGTTTATAAAGGTCATACCGGGGCAATCATACTGTATAGTCTGACATTAAAAAAATATCATATGAGTAATTTTCATCCATGTTGTATCTTGTAGACCTAGTTCACCCTCATCGCTAAGCAATGGCCCATTATAGGTCTATATCACAGTGTATGTGCTTATTATATCATTGGTGAAAGTTTGAGTTGCTTCTACTAATGGTTTTAGTAATTCTGAGCAATGCTGCTTTGGATAGACACATACATTTCTAGTAGACGTGTATGGATTTCCCATATCTGTGAGCAATGTCCTTATACTTTACTGCTTTCCAAAGTATCTATTCCCACTCTCCTATTTCTCATCAATACCTTCTAAGAATTCCTCATTTTGCTTCACAGGTCATATTTTCATATTATTAAAAATATTTTATTTCTTTTAAAAATGTTACGCATATGAGTGTTTTACCTGCATGTAAGTGCACCAAATGCACGTAGTTCCCATGGAGACCAGAAAGGGGGGGGTGAATTCCCTCGAACTGGAGTTACAGATGGTTGTTAGTTGCCATGTGGATGCTGGAAACCAACCCTAGTCCTCTGCAAGAGCATCCAGTGCTCTTAGCTGCTGAGCCACCTCTCTAGCTCCCAG